GAGAAACAAAATCTCTGCCTTTATACAACTTACATTCAAGAGAACAGAAATAAGCATAAAAAAATAAAGAAATAGCTAAGATGTGTGAGGTAGAAAAGAAGTGGCATGAATGGGCCGGGGAATGTGAAGAGAGATGGGGTGTGAGAGACCCAGAAAGGCTGGGCAGTGAGCAGGGACCTGTGGAGACACCTGGAGGGTACCTGGCAGGAAAGACGAGCCTGGAGAGGGCTCCACAGGAGGGCAGGTGCAGCCATCGAGGAAGCCCAGGGGCTGGGCTGGGGTCATCGGGGGCTGGGCACGGGTATCCCAGGGCCAGACTGCAGGTACTGGCAGCCATGAGGGGACCTTGGGCAGAGGGAGGGGCAGCCCTGACTTACCTTCCAGTAGGACCCATCTGGTATTGGGTGGGGAAAAGGCATAGAGTCTACAAGGGCGGTGGAAGGAAATTTTGGGAGGCTCTGGCCATAGCCCAGGTGAGAGGTGGCAGTGTCTGGGCAGAGTGGTAGAAGCTGTCCGACTGAGTACATCTGGAGGTAGGCACTGTAGGATGTCTAGGGCTGGAGCTGGGGTGTGAGGAGCTAAGTCAAGAAGGGCTCTAGGATTTTTGACCCAAGTAACAACAGAAAGGATGGAGCCGCCATGGACGAGAACAGGGAAGGCATGGAGTACCCCTTGCTCTGCAGGCCATGCACAGTGGCCCCCATCTTCCCTGCAGAAAGTCCACTCATGGTTACAGTGCTTCTATCAAATAAAGTCGCTCTCTGCCAATTCGATGTACAAAATAGTCACACCCTTTGAAAAGTCCACATTGCTGTTCCATTACAAACACAAAAAAAGTATCTTTTGGCTGAAAAATAACCCATAGTTATTTAACATTTATATGGTGAATTTTTCAAGTGGAATTTACTATGCAATATGAAAACAAAATTTGCATGTTGTATTAGTCCGTTCTTTTGTTGCTATAAAGAAATGCCTGGGGCTGGGTAATTTATAAGAAAATGTTTAATTGGCTCATGACTCTGCAGGCTGTACAGGAAGCATGGTGCCAGCATCTACTCCTGATGAGGCCTCAGAAAACGTCCAATCCTGGTGGAAGGCAAAGGTGAAGCAGGTGTGCCACCTGGCAAGAGTGTGAGCAGGAGAAAGAAAAGGGAGCTGTCCGACGTGTTTACACAGCCAGGTCTCCTGTAAACTCACCGCACGAGGACTCACTCATCGCCAAGAGATGGCACTAAATTACTCACAAGAAATCTGTCTCCATTAGCCAACCACCTCCCACCAGGCCCCACTTCCAACACTGGAGGTCACATTTCAACATGAGCTCCAGAGGGGACAAACATCCAAACCATACAACACATGGAAGAAAAAATGTTTGTTAATCATACAATTTCCTCCCGAAATAATTAAGGAATAAAACATCCATTTCTACCCATTGTCATAAATTCTACTTCTAATACATATAAACATGATAAGGGTTAAAGGCCAGCAGCTAAGGTGGAGATGTAATTTCCACAAAAGCAAAATGCAGAGTCCTTCGGAAGCTGCGGTTGGGCAATTCAGAGCTAGCCTCACCTTAATCACCCACGCACCACCCCCCGCCGCGCTCCAGATCCCTGGCGGTGCCTCCGTCAGCTCCGCTCTTCTCACCTGGACCTCTGCAATAATCTAAAAGGCAATCTGCCCAGTTTCACTCTCCCTCCCACTTCCATCAGGACCATAGGATCCCGCCAAATGTGACTTTCCAAAATGCAAATGCAGTCATGCCTCTTCCCGACCCACTAGCACTCCAGTCACGTTTCGTTGCTAGCAAAATAAGGCCCGGCCCCTAGGTGGGACACGAGTCCCTTGCTGTCTGGCTCCTGCTTTTCTTTCACTTCACTTGACCTCACGTCCTCTGGCAAACGCAGGGCTTCAACAAGTTGTATGCTTCCTAAACACAACGGATCAGTCATGTGTGCCTCTGTGCCCTTCAGCTAATTCAACCACAATGGCATTTGCTTCCCTGTTCTTCGTTAAGCCCTTCCTCATCCTTCAAGTCCCATCTCATAAGATCCGGCTGCCATGAAGCTTTGTAGGACTTAGCCCCCGCAGAGTCAGGTGCTCCCCCACCCACCCCGAGGTAGCACTTCACAGGCCTCGGTCACACGTACTGTGCACAGTAATTATCTGTCTTTGTCTCTGTCTCATGTCAGAAGCTCCACCTCTCAGGCTCCACGCAAACACGCCTGACTGTCATTCAAGTAATATTTGCTTAAAGATAAATGGATGAAATGAAATCGAACCCTGGGACACCCATTCAGTGAAACATCCATGCTTCCTGAGCCCTAAGCTAGAACGCTTGTTCTGAGATTTGACAGTAAGACAATAGGTTGACATAAAAGCTATACTTGAAACAACTGAGAAACACGGGTTAGGGAGTCGCTTCAGCACAGCCTTCACCTCTCAGCGCCTTCAACCTAACTCAGCCACACCTGGGAAGGAGGGTTTGACAGAGAAGGAGTCTGCATTATTTTCATGGATTACATTAGCAAGTATCTTTGGTTATACATGCAGGTTTCAGGAGAAAAATATCCACAGACACCTGAACCTCTTTTCCAAAATGCAAAAGTGCTCATAGTCATCATGATTTTAAACATTTCAAAGTATCATTTATTAACTCGGTCATGTATTCATTCTGGCCTTCAAAAAGCTTGTCTTGTGAACCACCTGTCAAGCCCTTATTGAGCTTCACATACACATGTGAAATCAGAGTTGCCCCCATGCCAGTTATGCCTGGCATGTCAGGTGCCAGCGCAGGGAACAGGTCACATCCACGCCCCTTACCTTGCCACGTGCCCCTATAAGGACATGCTCTCACAGCGGATAAGGTCCTGTCTAACCAACCGGACTACTTTTAATCAAATGAAGTTTCAGCACACTTTAAACACAGATTAACTAAAATTTAAATATCTGTTGCCAAAATTACAATTAACTTTATTCCGCTTTTATCATGTGCTTAGTGCTTGTCTCAGTCCATTCCTGCCAAAATATCTAAGCCTGGGTAATTTATAAAGAGCAGAAATGCATTTCTCACAGTTCCACAAGCTGAAAGTCCAAGATGAAGACACAGGTAGGTTCCGTGTCCGGTGAGGGTCGAGTCTCTGCTTCCAAGACCACACCTTGTTGCTGCTCACTCCAGAGGGCAGGAAGGCCGTGTCCTCACGAGGTGGGAGGGAAAGAAGGGCAAAAGGAAGCCAAAGTGGTTTTCTCCAGCCCTTTCGTGAGAACACTGATCCCTCCCAAAGGCCGCACCCCTTAATACTGCTGCATGAGAATCTTGGAGGAGACTCGAACACTGAAACCAGGGCAGCCCTTTTAACACACTGCTGTGTTTAATCCTCACTGTGTTCCTGCGACGTAAAGGCTATGAATTGTCTGCGCTTTATCTTCTTCCATTTTTATTCACCATGATGTTGCTTCTTTTATCTCCTTAGTGGGAATTTTTAAAGCGATATTACAAATATAATTGGTATAATATCAGAACCGTATGTAAGCTTATTTTTCTTACCCCATTTGCTTTAAACAACTGTCTCTACATGCTGTATGTACACCCACACACACACAGTTTTTGGCTGAACCATTTGAAAAGGAGTTGCATGTATCATGACTCTTACTCCTAACCACTTCAGCATGTATCTACCTAGAACAAGGACATGCTCCTATATAACCAAATGCCCTTATTGTACTCAGAAAGCATGACATTGACATGGAGATATTATTTAACATTCAGTCCACGTCCTAACTTTCCAATGGGCCCTGTACTGCCTTTATTACGATACGTCTTTAGCCTCCTTTTATCGAAGGTAACGTCGCCCCCTTTCTTTGCGTTCCTTTTCACTGACCTTTGGAAGCTTGGGCCAGCTGCTGGCAGGATATCGCACTGTTTGAGCTTGGTTGCTTTCTCACAATTCAATTCAGACTAACTGCTATTGGCAAAAACACTATGCAAGCAATATCATGTCTTTTCCACACTTCACTTTAGGAAGTGCACAGAAGACTGTTCCATTACTGGTGGTGCAAGTTTCATTACTTAGTTAAGGTGATAACCTCCAGATATCTCCACGTTAAAGGTATTATTTTCTGCTTGTTAATAATAAGTGACCTGAGGGGAAATACGCTAAGATCATGTCAATATCCTGTTTCCCAGTTGTCTTTCATCCAAGGATGACTCTGATCTGAGCAAATTGGTACACTGTTCATTGCAAAACTAATGACTACAGGTAACTAAAACACCTTAGGCAACAAGAATAGTAGTAGCATACAGTGTTTCAGCAGTGGTGCCCGTTCACCGAGAGGCCGCCCTGTGCCACTGTAGGCTGGGTGGCATAGACGTATTCTCTCTGAATCTTGCACAGTCCTTTGAGTTACACACTCTTATTAGCCCCACATTACGGCTACAGAGGCCGAAGCTGAATGGATCTATGTGGTTTGCTCTAGGCCACTGCTTAGTTTCTGTGTGGCTGTGAAGGAATGCCTGAGCCTGGGTAATTCAGAAAGAAAGGAGTTTATTTAGCCCACGGTTCTGCAGGCTGTACAGGAAGCCTGACACTGGCACCTGCTTGGCTTCTGGTGAGGGCTTTCGTGCTGCATCAAAACATGGCTGAGAAGGTCAAAAGGGCGGCAGGAAGGTGCCAGGAAGGACCAAATCCGAGGGGTGTCTGGGCTTTATCACAACCCACTTCTGGGAACTAATCCCTCCTTCGAGAACTAATCCAGTCTTGAGAGAGCAAGAACTCACTCTCTGCTGGTAGAACAATGGCACGAAGTTGTTCACGAGGGATCCACCCCCATAACCCAAACACCTCCCTCCAGGCCCATCTCCTGACACTGGGGTCCCATTGCAGCAAGAGATTTAGTGGGAACAAACACATCTTAGCCAAGCAGGGCAGTCACTCAGCTAACGCCATGGTTAAACCTGTATTTGAGTTCAGTAGCAGCTCCACGTGGATGTTATTTACAAACCGTTTAACTTCTCCGAGTTTCCAGGTTCCAGGTGCAGCTCCATAATGGGATTGAAGGTTCTCCACAGCTCTGCGGTTCTGACTAAAATGACATTCTCATGCAGACCTGGAGGGGAGAGAGAAAGAATGATGGCCTGAGACCTCATCAGGAAGAATCCCTCCGATACCGCTCAGGGCTACAGCAGAGCTGTGGACGAGGCCCAGATCGTGGTCCAGATTGAGGTAGTACAAAAGATCAATTAACAGGGCAGGAGGAGCTGTGAAAAGATTCCAGGGAAGACAGAGAATGAAAGAATCACATGGAGGTCACACTCCCCACTGTCACCAGCTCTGCTCTGCATCCACATCCCCCCCCAGAGACTATTCACCCCTGAACTGAGAAAGCAAAATAACAAAAAGTTTAAGCATTTCCAGGCCTTTCATATGGGTCTGAAAGATTCATATAGGGGGCCACATAATCACCATTGAAATCTATCCCAGCTTCCATTCTTGGAAAAGCAGAATTCCCTCTTTAGGATATGCAACAAGGAGAAAAGATACTGGACAAGACAGAGAAATTTCAAAACAAAAACAAACAAACAAAAAGCCAAGCAGAGGACTCTGAACCCACCCTTCCCTGCAGTGAAGTGGGTCTGCTGCATGCACCCGGGGGACACTTCAAGTCTCCAATCTGTGGTCTCAGTAAACTCAAAAATCGTGGCACCCGCAGACCTTGGAACCGTGATCTGGAATCAAGAGGGTGTGCATAAAACATCTAAAACAACAGTCTCTAATTACAGACTGCAGAATGGGATAGTCTGAAATCTTCAGAAGAATAAATCAATGAATTAGAACAATGAAAAAAAACCTAAGATCTAAATTCTGAGGTGAAATCCAACAGAAAGCAAATCTCAGATCTCCAATTTAGGAATTCCAAAAGTAAAAAGAACATACAAAATTCCAAGCCTTGGCCAGGCACAGTAGCTCACAACTGTAATCCCGGCACTTTGGTGGTGGTGGTCTTTGGGGGAGTTGAGGTCGTCAGATTACTTAAGGCCAGGGGTTCAAGACCAGCCTGGCCAACACGGTGAAACCCTGTCTCTACTAAAAATACAAAAATTAGCTGGGTGTGGTCGTATACACCTATAGTCCCAGCTATTTGGGAGTCTGTAGCATGAGAATCGCTTGAACCTGGGAGGTAGAGGCTGCAGTGAGCCAGGATTACACCACTGCACTCCAGCCTGGGCAACAGAGTGAGACTCTGACTCAAAAAAAAAAAAAAAAAAAAAAATTAAACATATCTTGGAACTAAAGAGAAATCCAAAGCTTAAGATCAACAAAAGTTGTTAAATTTTATGCAAAACTATTAAAAATTATATATAGATACAGACATATAAATATATGTAACTTCAGATTTTAAAAAATTATACCACCATTACCAGGAAATAACATATTACCTGCAAATGAAAAAAATTGGATTAGTATTAAATACAGCATAGTACTTGAAAAATATTTTAAACTTTCAAAGAATGTTATCTAAAATAGCCAAACTCAAGGCTGGCAAAAAGACTTTATGAGGAAAGAAAAAATATATAGGAATTGCATACCTTTCTTGAAAAAGTATTTGCAAACAATCAACACAGAATAGGATTTAACACTGCAAGAATGGAATGGAGAAGTTTTAAAATAAATGAGAATAAACACTCTAACAAGTAAATCATGAAAATTTAGCCTAATTTTTAAAGGCTAATAGTAGTAATACAATCATTAATAATATACTCATCAATAACAATATTAATACTAAGGATATGAAATAATTGCATTTCTGACGGAGCATTTACTAGAAAGAAAAGTGTGGTAAATGTCTCATCTTACTTGAGAAGTCGGCACAAAGTCATTATGCATACTTAGAAAATGAAAGATAATCTCTCTAAGGTAAATAGAATAAAGATTATTACAATACGATAGAAGGTACAATTTACAAAGAAGATAGGTACATCATCTAGGTTACAGTGTCTACCTCAGTGCCACAAAACTGAAAAGAACTTTTGAATAAGCAAACAAAAAGAAAATTTGCCAACAAAAAAAAATCTAAAAACTCTTAAGTTAAAGAAATAAAGCAAATTGTGAAGCCCAAAAGAGCCAGTCCTTCAAGACGGCTCCTGAGTGGCTCACTGGGCCTGAACTCAAAGGACAGTCTGGGTCCATCTGCTGACAAGGTCACATGGAAGGTCACACAAGTCTTCTCAGGGGCTCACTCAGGGGCTTCTATAGCTGTCTCTGTTCACATGGCCTGAACCAGACAGTCTACTGTGACCTGTATTGACCAATCAGAGCTCAGCAAATTCGCACAAACAAGGAGGTGGGAACCTGGGCAGAAACTTTCTCTATAAAAGACAAACCCTCCTTGTTCTCTGTGACACACTTTGTTTTGTGCCAAAGTCTATGTCACCTTAGTTTGCAAACTGTTTACTGGAATAAAGCCACTTTGGATTTTCTTGAAATCTTTTTCAGTGGATTTACTGGCAAAACTACCACTACATACTACTTAGAAATTAACAATGAGGAAACTACACATAGAGTTATGGAATGCAACAAAATCTGTAGTAATAAGAAATGTATAGCCTTAAATACTTATTATTCAAAATTAAAATAAAAATGCAATGCAAAACAATAATAATATAATGTTTTCATCCTAACGTGAGCCAAAATTATTTTGATAATAATTAAGTTGGCAAGAGTGTAAGAAAAACAGCACATCAGGCTAGTGGAAACAGCTATCTCAAAAACTGTTAAAGAGGAGCTGTTCTGAAAGCTGAATTTACTCATGCGCCGATAGGTGAGTATGGCAGAAGGAAACTTCTTCCAATAACTTTCCATTATGTGCTTAAATACTCTTTTTGGCATATAACTCTTAGATTAAGTGAAAGAAGAATCTTAATGATGAACTCTTAAGATTGGAACCAATAGGCTTCCAATTACTTTTCAGAAGAGAGTGAAAAATCTGTTAAGACCTTTCAAAAGAGAAATATGTCAATAAGTATCCAAGTCCTTAAGTTGTAAGCTTCTTTTGGAACAAGCAATTCTACATTTAAGAATTTACCCACAGGAGGCTGAGGCAGGAGAATTGCCTGAACCCAGGGGGCGGAGGTTGCGGTGAGCCGAGATCGCACCATTGCACTCCAGCCTGGGTAACAACAGCGAAACTCCATCTAAAAAAAAAAAAAAAAAAAAAATTTACCCTAAAAATTATTTATGAAAGGAAAAATCAGGTGTGTGCAGTTGAGCTTCATGTCTCCCCAGAGGACCCATGTCAAAACAAAAAAATGGTGCTGTTAACAGGATCCGAGGGTGGGGTTTTCTGCTTTCTGAGTTCAAAAGGTGCAGCAGAGAACATGAAGACCCTTATTCTGCATCCCTCTGTACTGGCCAGAACCACTCTCTGGGCCCCTGGCCGGTGGTCTCTGATCAGGAAGGAAAGCTGCTCAGTTGTTGTACTGAAAGTGCAAGAAGTGTAAAAAATGTTGTTCCCTCAAAGCGTGAAAAGATTTATCTCCAACTTTTCTTTAAATCACAGCATTGTTTATAGTAGACAAATATTGGAAATACACTAAATAAGAGCCATAAGAGGATAAGTATTGAAAAATAAAAATAAAATTGTCAGACACCCAACTCACTGAACAGAACCGGTCTTTGCCAAGAGGATCCCGGGGTAATCTTGGAAACTAAGTTTCAGGCCACGAGGGCATGGAGGTCAGACAGGCATGGCTCTACTCCCTCACTTGCTAATCATGTTTAGGCTTACTCCCTAAGGATGAACAGAAACCAACCCTTTCAAAAGAATCCAGATGCTGCCCCACCCTTTTGCAATTTCAGTACAACAATTGAGCAGCTTTCCTTCCTGATCAGAGTCCACTGGCCAGCGGGCAGAGAAAGATGCACAGTAAGGCTTTTCATGTCTTCTGCTGCACCTTTTGAACGCAGAAAGCAGAAAACTCCACCCTTAAATCATGCTAACAGCACCTTTTTTTTTTTTTAAATGAGTCCTCTGGGGAGGCATGAAGCTCAATTTCACATGCCTGATTTTTCTTTCATAAATATTCATGACTCCTCCTATAGCCTATTGAATATTTATATTCAGCCACACCACTCAGCAAAAATTCCCATTCCCTTTGCCCCTTCCTCCTAGAGTCTGTTTCCAGCTTCTGACTAGAGGCTACACTTCCCAGCCAGTCAGAATGGCTGGTCTGCAGGCTGCAGCCCTTTAGGAGAAATGAAGCTCTCCTTTCCAAATTTATGAACCTCATTGCTCTTCAGCTGACAAGGTAATCTGGTACCTCAATGTGAAGGCACACTATTTCATCACAGAAAAGAATACAGGAGAAAAATAGAGACTAGTCTTTATGTTGAATGTATATAACTGTTTATATGTAGACAAGTGAGAAAGGCAGTTACAAACAGTGGGTTTGGGATGAACCACTTCAGTGATGAACAAACAAATGCACAAACACATATCCCATAGAATAATCACCATGAACTGATTTCCTCAAAACACCTATCTCTACAGAGGGAGTATTTTAGTTTTATTGTGGGGCTCCTTGTTTCTTCTTATTTTCCACACTGTGTGTTAGTAATTTGCAGTCCTGCTGATAAATGTTATTAAACACAAATAGAACAACTCAAGCTAATTTGATGACTAGTAATGAATCAAGTCAGTAATTATTGTTCATGCTTTCCTAGCTCACTTTGCATGAGCCCCTTAGACAATGCCAACGAGAGAAAACACAAGTGGCCTAGAATGTGCGTGTCAAATTGCTCCTTTTGTGAATAAATGAATCTCAGAGAAGGCAAGTGACTTGACCAGGCTCATGCAGAGTGTTACAACAGAACCTGGGCAGAGTCTCCACTCCCCAATTTAGCTCAATACTTGGAAATGGCCCTGCCACAGGAGACAGGTGTTTTCTTCTGCAAAAATGCAAAGTAGGAGAGAAGAACTTGGAAACACTAAACTGATCAACCTTCTGGTCCACTCACCTATCAGTGATATATAAAATAATGCGAGGATGTTCTTAAATTATCTTTAACATTGATACGAATTCTAAACACAGAGATACAGTGGGACCTCGAGGCAGCATCTTTAGTTGTTTCTGATAAGCGTGAGCGCTGAGTGTTGTCAAAATGCAGAGCTGCAACTCACAGAGAAGCAGGCAAGGCAGTGAGTGCCTTGCTTTTAAGTCTGACTTGGTTGAAGAGGGCAATTTACCCTCCAGGATGGGTTCAGTGTTTAAAATACTTGGCAGGTGAAGGCAGTGTCTCAGCCCTCCCGGAAGCTGAGATGCACCCCCAGCAGCAGCAGGACGGCCTTCGCTGCTTCCTGCACATTTCCCATTTGCCGAGTTTTGAAAGTCGTTCTGAAAAGAGGAACCTTGAAAGAGGAAAAGAAAGCACATTTCATGGTACGGTCTTTGTGGGCAGCTCTCAGCTGGATGTGTCTCCATGGTGACCAAGGTCTGCTCCTGGATGTGGAAGAGGCAGTCACTACCCTCTAGGTTAGAGGAGACACAAGTTGACAAACGTTAGGAAGGACAGAGACTTTATAAAACTTTGTGTGGGTGTTCTAAAGTCTCAGCCAGGGTCTGCTCGTGCCTCACAGAATAGAACGTGACTTAACCCAGCAAACATCAGTTCTTCGGGTAAGACATCACAGGCCGTCCTCAGGTGGCCAGCAAGGTTCTCAGAAGATCAAGGCCATGGCAGTGCCTCACCGAGAGCTGTCAGCGGTAGGGAGATCAAAGGCCTCCATTCATTCAATATTTATTCAGCAAATATACAGAATCAAGAAGCAAGCTGAGAGCTGAGTTCAGTAAGCCAGGGAGTTGTCCAAACAGGTAGCCAGAATCAAAGGGGAGGTGAGAAGCAGGCATAAGAACGCAGCGCCAACTGCCAAGGGAGGGAACGAGGACCTGCGAGGTCCCGTTGCCCAGGCTGGAATCCCACGCTCTCCCACAGGTGTGGAGCAAGCCTGGAAGGGATGAGGGGAGGCTGGGCCAGAGACACCTCCCGATGGGGCACTCCTCCCCAAGCGTTTTTTCAAGAGTAAGGTGATGAGAACTGCATGACAGCCTTGGAGGAGGAGTGCCAAGGGTGATTTCGGGGGAATCAAAACCTCAATCCCACTCCAGGAAAGACACAGAGCTGCTAGGAAACATCCAAAATGCGTGTCTGCACCAAGGCAGAGAAGCGTCAGAGAAGGAAGACTTGATGCCCTTCACCCAACCAGCACGGCTTCTGGTGTTTCTGGTCCGCTGGAAGCCATCCACAGCGGCTGGATGCAACTGTCCTCTCCCTTTCCTTCAAGCCTCGAACGGGCATATTGCCTGCCCCTGCGCTGACCCCCCTCTGTGCAGGAGCTCTAGCTTCAGCTGTGTGGAGGGCCTCCCTGGCTCACAGGAATTCCTTCCTGGATTCCTGTCCGCCTCTTGCCCTCTCTTCCCACCTGTCCTTTTGCGCTCTATGCTTCATGTATTTCAACTTACCAGTTCTGCAAAAACACTTCAGCTTTGAATCTGCTGCTCCCTTTGCCTTAAACATAAGCCCCAGTCCCAGTCCCCCTCCCTACTGCACCTTGAGGTGCACC